AGAGGTTCGCTGGCTCTCCCGAGTTGTTGCTTGAACTACAGGCTGCACCTCTGCTTTTTCGTATTGCCTGCCACCCCGGACTCAAAGAGTATAGAAGCAGAGCAAGACCCAAAGTTGCCCCTCTCTCACTCTCAGACCAAAAATCAAATATAAATCAAGGTTATGTTACTGTGTTGCCTATTTCTCACCTAAAATGTTTTCATAAACGTATTTTAGTGCACTGTTTAGCTGTAATAGTGAGAGTTTTTGAAACAGTAAGTGGGCGCCATACTGTAACACATAATAGTTTGTTGCCAGCCGATCGCCATTGTTTCAAATGGACAAGTTTGCACAACGGCACCCACCAGCAGGAGCGTTTATTGGTCCAGTATGGCGGTGGCAGTGCACTCCTGAGCAAAAGTGAATGCCTGCTTTCTCTGATCATGTAACAACAATTTCAAAGTATTTGTATCTTTCTACTGCACTGACAGCCCAGTTTTATGAAAAGACCAAATCCTACGCACTGAACCTTTAACCTAATCCTTTATTGCTAGCTACCTAAGCTAGTGACATGCTAACTAAGGTGTTGACACTTGCACAGTAGGTCTTTTTCGTTTGGGGACTACATTCCAGCATCTGCCAAGAAGAGGGGAACCACGCTGGCTGCGTCGCACAAGTATTTTCACAGTGGCCCCAGATGCATAAAGATGGCAGCTTTCTGGTGTGACATCATTACCATCAGTGTGACAGTGAAGAACACTGGGAGCGTTCAGTCCATCCAGTTTTGTTGTGGTCAAGTTTACATCTCTCCAAGTCACTTTGCAATGGGTGTTGTGTGGAAGTAAAAAGCAGTGTAATGCAGCACTAATACGAGGAAAAGATTAAGTACAATTAAATAACAAATCTGAAAGTTTGAAAGAGAATATTTTAGTTGCTAATATCTCTGAGAGGGTAAAGCTTAGACTGCTTGAACAAACTCAAACAACATGTTATCCTTTGAGACAAAAATCAGTGATGATGACGTCCAACCACACAGCAGCCATCTTTCATGCATCTGGTCCCTCCTTGCATGGGAAAGTGTTTATCAGAGGCCAACATCATTTTTTGACATTTTCCAAAGCCATCACCTTTTTTTTCTTTGCGCATTCATAAAAAGTAAAGAGGCTGGGTTGACTTGTTTCTTTCTTTTTTGTTTTTATTGGCATCATGTTGCTTTCAAATGTTTGGATGAGGACAGTAGAATTTTTTCTATTTAACTAGCTAAGTCAAAATTTCTTTAAATGCTCTCCAAATATCTGAAAGGTTGTGAAACGGCTTTGTGGTGATATATTGGAGCATGTATATTGAGTTGCTGGGCATGCATTGTTATATTGCAGGGGTCTCTAAATATATCTTTGTGTTCAGCAGGAGAGCGTCTGTTGGCCGCATATGCATGACGTGCATGTGTGCATGTGCACATACAGTACCTGTATTTGAATGTGCAATTGAACAGTGTGTTTGTGAATGCCTGACCCACGCGTGCCCACAGGACGGCGTACGACAACACCGACTGCCAGTCGGAGGACGAGCAGAAGGAGGAGCCGGTGGCAGAGAGGAGGAGGTCCAGTCTCAGTGAGCTGGGCAGCAAACTCACCTCCCTCATTCTGCCCCTCAAGACGTTAGTCCAACCAAACACCCACCTCTAGCCTACTGCAGCTCCACTTTCTGCAAGAAAAGCTAAGAGGCTAGCTACATAGTGGAAGACTTCATCATTTAGCTCCACTGAGGTTCCAGTAGCTGCGAACAGAAAGTTTTGTTCTCTGGAGACTTCAATGTCAAGGATTTCCTACATACCGGCTGAATTTTTTTTCTGTAACTTGTAGTAGCAAGAAGAAAATTATGTCTCATTTAATATGAGATTAACACTTATGTGTAACATGAGTATGGAACCTCCTAAGTGATGAAGCTCTTTCATTATATGGGTCTGTGCTGGACTAGCTTCCTCTTTGCTGCAGGGGCTCAGCGGCTTTTAATCATGTTAACAATATTTTCACTGGAAGGGCCAGAAATGAACAATTTTACTTGCTGTACACTGTCTTGAGATCAGTGTATGTCGGTGTGACATAAGCTTTGTGATTTGTGTTTCATGCATGGATCTCAAGCTCTTGATTTGCAGCTAACAAAGACAACTAATTCATCTTTACTCGCCTTGGTCTTGTGTGTGTGATTTACTAACATGTTCAGCCACCTTGATGATTTAATGTGCTGCTACACTTGGACCATTTTCTTTATTTTTGTGGGGCAACTGAGTAATTTGTGCAAACAGATCATGTGTTTTTCTGAACTGTCCTTTCCTCTTTTCTTCCCTCCACATTGCTCAGGAGTCAGGATGAGCTGTTTGTAATGCTGTAAGTGTGTAGGGAGGAGAGTCCAAAGTGGAAGTGCTTCTGGACTCTATCCCTATCCCAAAAAATTCAAAAAAAAAAAAAAAATGCACGCAAAAGGCCTGTGTTTATCAAGTAGGAGTGCCAATCAAAAGCCACTTAGAACCTCACAGTGACTCTCTTAATGACTGTTAAGTGATTTGAAGCGGCACTCCTACTGCTGACAGACTCCAGGCCAAAATTGACGGCTGCCTTTTCCTCACCAGTCGACGCTCGAATCCACCTCCATGCCAACTGCTATTAACTGCCGCTGACAGCTTTTTCATTACGCTGTTGTTGTGAATGGTTTTGCATCTTTGAAACCGTTTGAGACAGGTAGTAAAAACGCACTTCATCAAAGCCAACTCTAGATTGCATCAAGCTGCAGCTAATTCACTGCCTGCCACTCATTGCATTAGTTACCACAAATGACATACAATTTCTGTGATTTTATTCTCTTTCCTGTGAGTCATTTTTGGTAACTTACTCAATCTCTTGCTTGATATTGGATCATTTTTTTAAGATCTCTCATGCCTTATTTTCTATCCATCATGTGGTAACATTTTATTCTCTTTGGTTGCCCCCTCCAGCCCGAGCCCTTCCTCCAGCCCTACGTCCACAGACCCAGGAATGGCCCAGTCTTTTTCCAGCAGTCTGACCACCTCCAGGGCGGCCGCAGCAGCAGCAGTAGCCAGAGGCGGCAGAGGTCTCTGGCTTTGGTTGGCGATGGTGGTGGTGCTAGCAGGTACACCTAGTTTCTCTATAGTACTTATTTTAGGGTGATTCTTTTCTTGTAGACTAGTGGTCTTCAGTGTTTTTCAGGCCAAGGACCCACTACTATATTTATTGTATAAAACTGAGTCACACTTGATATAATTCGTTGAATATTTTCTTCTTCAGCTTATTGGCCAATATCTTTCAATAGCATATCAATTTTAGCTAATGGCAGCCCCCCTGCAGTAACTCTGAGGACCCCCCGTTGAAGACCCAGATTATAGACTGTATATAAAGATGAACAACACATCTCCACTTCCTCCAACTGTACAAAAACAAAGCCAAAATACCCCGGATACGGCCGCTGCCATCTTGCACTGGTGACTTCATTTGGATTAAGAGTCTGTGCAGTAGTAATTTGTTGCCATTTTGTTCCTGCCCATACACCTGTCTGACCAATTGCAAGCAGCACCATTGATCGTGAGCACGCAGACTGGCAGACTGGCAGACTGGCAGACCTAGCAGTCAATCATGATGTGAAACCCCTTTTTATAGCATCAAATGACTAATTAAACCAAACTTCAAAGAAAAATTAACACTTCTGACCCGAGATCTGTCATGCCATCCATCTTTATTATATAGTCTATGTCATCTACTTGGATTTAGCAACAGTAGAAACAAACTATACTGATTAAAGCTTGAACAAACTTCCGCCACTTATTCTATGTTGTGGTAAATATCCATGGTTCACCTGCAGCTCTCCTGGCGCTGCTGGCCAGCCTGGTGATGCAGCCAGCGGTAGATGCAGCCCCTGTGGGGACCGGGGACTCCTGGATGACCATCCAGCAGCTGCTGTGGCCCTACACAGGGCTCCGGCATAACGGACAGCCCCCCGTCTAGCCCCTGAGACCCGGGGTGGATGGTGCTACCGCCCATCAGCCCTCTGAAGAAACGATCTGTGCACTGGGGTGATGATGAAGAAAGTACAGTGTACCACGACTGAGCGGAGGCTGTTGGGATGTTTACTAGTGCCTGAAGATTTCCAAAACAAGACTCGCATTGATAGCACAGGCCAGGCCTCAGGGGATAGTTAACCCTATGGAGGATTTTATGCATCACATCACGTTTGCTAAACTAGTTAGTCTTTGAGTGTGTGTGTATGTGTGTCTGTTTTAAGAGATGAAGCAGTAACGTGGTTGGAAACCAGTGTCCCTTTACGGCGGGCTGCTCAACATCCAGAACACATCATGATGCAGTTTTCTTGTCAGCGCTGCTGGCAATTGTCTACGCGGACCTAACACAATCTGTCAAATCAGCTTCATCAGTCATCACAGCTGGTGCAGAGATGACCAATCATGTCACAACTTCATCTGAATGACAGCACTGATTCGCCAAGTCACACAATGGGCCTCTGTGCAGTTTTCCATTGACAAACATCATGGACAATGGCTTTTTAAACACATTTCATGCACTTGAGGAAACAAAGGACAATCAGCCTTTTTATTGGAATTTTGCAGAGGACATTTTATAACTTAAGTCTATAAACACTGGTAATAAAACTTTGATTTTAAGTGTTTTAAAATTTTTGAAATATATATTTATGAGTTTGTTAGTTTTGAGTGGGGATATGTGAATAACTGTTTATTTTTGTTAAGTTATAATTCTACATTGTTACAGTTTTAACACCAAAGGGTTTTTTATGTTTCTCTTTGTGTTCTTGCTGTGGTTGTCACCGTTTTCAACTTCATAGTCTTTTTTTTTTTATGTTCCAAAGAAGATGTGTGAAACTTTGCACAAATAAAGTAGCCAATTCTACAGTAGGAGACGTGTCTTCTTATGTGCATCCAAATGTTCATTTCAAATTCAGGGGTTAAAAAAGTATTGAATTTAAATGCAACCCCAGGTTAATTTCACACAGGTTATGAATACATGAGGGGTCTGGTGGCACAGAGCAGGCTCTGTACTGTATCAATATACATGTAATTACATTCTCTGGTCCTGACTATACCATCAGGGCTCATGTTGTCCTCAAGCATGTGGATGAAGGCGGAGTGAAACTCGCTTCCTGAGTAATGCTCTGGAGAGAAGGCTTCACTCTTCTCTGTCATCTCCAGCTTCTGACTCCTCTGAGCACCCAGCAGGTAGAGACTCCATGAGCCCTTAGGCACCGGGTCAGGGCCGTGGTGCTCACACGCCTGGCAGAGGAGAGGGGCAAAAACAATCAGGGCATTCCATGTTGGGAGAAAAAAGGGAGCATGCTGGATATAATGATCTATGTGTGAGGGAGAGTACCTGTATGACTAGATGCTCAGCTCCACATTTAGCATTCCACTTGCTCCATGAGAACGCGCAGGCAGAGGCAAAGAGGGCCATCTGTTCGTAGGCAGCATGTTCTGTAAGTGGGTCCTGAAGAGGAGAGGAACCACACGGCACATTTATAACATTGGAAACTGGTGGACTGCAGTCTGGTGATACACAAGTATAAGCTGAAAAGGTAAATCAGAGAAAGTGTTTGGTAGAATGTCACGATATACTGTCCCAGATTGATAAAAGATATCATTATCAATATCTGAGTACACTCTTTCAAAGAGCAATGGGCTTTTAAATCTTAGGAATATTCAGACATTGGAGTGTGAAACTCTGACAGAAAGCAGACGAGAACAGAAGCAGCACGACAAGAATTGACAGCATCTCGTGTCATATTCTTGTCTTTTTCTGTTCATTCAGTGTGGATACTGTGGAAAAAAAAATTCTTGTACGCTGTGGCCAAGTATTATAATGGTTGAGACAGCCCTGCTGTTTAAAATGTTGACATTCTTATCTAAATAAACACATAAACATGTAAACGCAAGGCCAACTACGTACGATATGTGGACATGATCGCACTGACCTTGATAAGTCGATAGCATAATTATTTTGACAGGCCCACCCAGGTTTACATAATTTATTGTGAGCAGGTTGTTTAGATGGAGGTAATTCTGTAGCTGATCCAGGCTGAATTATTATCTGCTCCATAGTGTTGTTTCGCTTAAGCTAAGGAAATGTTTGGGTTTTTTTTCATTTTCCAATCTCCTCTTTTAAATGTGAACAACAATCCAGACATGGTGCTACCTGCCTCTCCTAAAGAAACACAGATCTGTTTTTTTTAAAGAGCCATGCTAGCAGCATGGAGACAGCAATACCAATTGGCTGATCCAGACTAAAATACCTCAACAGCTGTTAGATGGATCATCATGGTGTTGTTGTACAGACATTAATGATCCACAGAGGATGAATCATACTGAGTTTGGTTTCATCTAGTTTTTGCTTTTGATTGAAATTCCAACAGCTATGGGAAGGATTTTAATGAAACAGATATTCCCTTCCCCTCAGTATAATTTTGATCAACTTTGATGGTCCCTTAAATTTTCATTTAGCACCATCATCAGGCAAGAATTTTAATTTGTCTAGTATTTTGGTTGATCACCAAATGAACCATCTTGGAAAGCTTATAACGTTGTAGGTCACAAATGAAGTCTACACACTGTTTGGTTCCAAATAACAAGTTTGTTTTCTTCTTAAAGGCATTTTTTTTTCTTTTTTAAGGCAAAGTTTTGATCTGCAAAATTCAGGATTAGCAAGCAGATGTTAGCATGCTAACCAGGGCTGGGTATCGGTGCTCAATATCTTTAAGGTATTGACCAAAATAATCCAATACCTGCGTTGGATCAATTTTGTACCCAGATCTAGAAAAAAACGACCCTTCGTATGGTTTTGCTTGCAACCTACGACAACAGCCACAACCCATTCAGTCTGTGGTGTGGTGAGGTTGACCACGGTGCAGTCGATGGAGTTGGCAGTTCAGATGCCAAGATGCCACCAAAACCTTTAAAAGTATGGCTGTACTACACGCCACTCCATTCACATGATTGGTGTTGAATGAAGTACTCTATTGGTATCAGTATTGCTTTAAAGGTACTGGTATTGGTAATGGTATCAAAAATTTTTTACCCTACGCAACTCGAATGCAAACACACTAAAATAAGATGAACATGGTAAATATATCATCTCTCACCTCCTGTCGCTTTTACAGGATATTTGGATACATGCAAGACTCTATTCTGCAACACTGGTTTGCCCATTTAACACAGAATTAAGAACATATCAAGCTAAACCTGCATCAAATCTAATACTGTATCTCTAGTATCTATTCTTAAAGCCAACAAGGAGAAGATGCACACCTTGCCGCAGGTGCTGACGTATTTCTCCGTGTACTCATTCACAAAGATGTTGATCCCTGAGTTGAGCATGGCTCTCTGGAGGGCGGGGCCACTCATCCACTTCCCCAACAGGTGAGAGAGACCTTTCTCTTGCTCCGAATGCAACATACACCGATTACCCTGTTGGTGAAATGGACACAAACACAAATTAAACAGTCAAGTTACATCTACTAATTTATTTTTATGTTATGTGCGCACAGAACTTTCCAGTCACTTACCTGGATGGTGATACTAAGGTCAATGAGTGCCCCGTTGATGGTGAAAAGAGCCGAGTCCTGCCCCAGTGGCCTAAGCTCCCAGCTCTGGAAGGGAAGGTTGGCGTACGTTTCCTGCATCAGCACAAAGGCCTGGAAGGAGTCCATCTTGAAGGAGATTTTGGCCTCTGCCTCATCATAAGACACGTCAGTGATGCCGTCCATCCTCCACTGCTTCACTGGATGAAAAAAAACAATTACAATGTCCATGAGTATATTATAGCATATTAGGGGGACAAAGTCAGAGACGAGATTGAGACAGTTTGGACATGAGCAAAGGAGAGCTGTTGGTGTATCTAGAGAAGGAGGATGCTGACGATGGAGCTGCCAGGTAAAAGGTGTGCTGCATATATATTATTATACATCATATGTTTCTGCATGACCTACCTGCAGCATCCCAACGAGCCACTTGGGGTGCTTCCAAGAAGACAACAGAGTCAGGCAGCATCACAGACACACCAACAGGAGGGCAGGTAAGAGCGTCATTGTCCTCCAAGTGAGCTTTCTCCATAGGGTAGGGGAACACCTGCAGCCCTTTTTTCAACACCTGGAAAAACATGGATAGTGATGTGTGAGGTCAACTATGTGAGGGTGTGAGCAGCAAACACTGAAACCCTTTTCTATGCACCTGTCTAATTTTCCAGCCATTGACGTAGCAGGCTTGTGGTGGCAGGTGAAACACATCATAGAAGAAGACCCCGCCCAGAGGTGTGAGCTGCATTAAGTCCACCACCTGGACACTCTCACCACGGTCCATCGCTGTCAGCTGCACTGATAGAGAAGTCAAGTCCCTAGCTGAAGAGAAAAAGAGAATCGTCCATCTTATAAAACACTATTAACTCAGATTTAGTTGTTGTTTGGTGTTAGTCCATGTATTAAAAGACCTGTCAGTTACTCTGAGTGACAGCAGGTTGCCATGCTGTGTGGTGCTGCTCTCTTTTTGTTTACATTTGGAGTGACAGGAAGTGTCAGGCTGGGCATCTTACCACCGAGCGCCTCCATCTGTGTCTGTATCTGGCTCCCTCGGCCTCCTGCAGGCTGGGCACTGGTTCTCGTCGACTGCTGACTGGCTGCACTCTTGAGTGAGATACACACTCAATAACAATATAAACTGCACACTGAATCTAGTAACCTAGATCAGTATTCTTTCTTTACCTTCATCCCTTCAGAACCATGCGTTGACTGCACCTCCTCGTCCACTCTCTGCTCCTGCTGCTGCACCTTGTCATCGTCCCTCACCTCTCCCTCTGCTTTTGTCTCCCCCTGCTCAGGTTCGTCTACGTCTGCTGGAACCTCCTCACCTCCTGCAAGCGACCTGGGACCCAACAGATGAGGCAAGAACACAGAGTTAAGGGAGTGTGGTTAGTATTAGCAGCATTTTAAGTATTCCTAGTAGTATTAGCAGACGTAAAAGCACCAACAGATGAGTACCTGTGGCTGGGTGAGCGTATTTTCAGGCGTGCCATCATGGCCAGCAAAGACAGGTGGTCATAACGTGTGTGGAGGATCCGTACGGCGATACTGCTCACAGCCAGCTGTTTAGGAAGCTCAAAGCCCAGGCCTGTCTCCTCAAAGTTAAAACCTTTAAACCTGAATCGACCCGATAAAAAGACAGAAAGACAAATACTAGATGCTTGAGCTTCCTGTTAAATATGAATGCACCAAACACAGTGTTGTGAGCTGCGATGGCCACCTCCTATGAGAGTTTTGGAGATGCTGCAGACTGTCACATTTAACCCAGATAATCTATCAGTGCCAGTTTTCCTCCACAAACCTTGGATTCTTGTTGAGGTTGGCCCACAGACACAGCGTAACGTTGTCATCTTTGACCACGGTCTGCATGTTGCCTGTTTCGGTGTCGGCGTTCTCACTGGCACTCTATGACCAGGTAGACACACGACACACTAAACAAGAATGTTTCCAACACTCTGCTTTCAACTTTGCAAATCACTAAGAGCAACCCATGCACACAATAATATACCATTTTATTATTATATAGCACTTGTGATATACACTAAGTGAGCACAAGTACAACTATGATTCTTATACCTTGAGGATCTCCTCAGTGGCGAGGTCGTGTTTTGAGTGGATTAGCTCCTGCAAATCTATGAGACCCTCCTGGTACTTCTGGCCCTCTTGGGGATCTGTAGCATCTCTGAGCAGCACCTCCAGCTCCTCCATCAGCTATAAGGGACAACATTTATGTATCTATTTATAAAATGGGCTTTTAATCAATTAATCAATAAGGAATAAATTAACTCCAGTTTTAATCAAATAAGTGCATGACATCTACACACCTACACTTCAAATACAGACCTGTAGAGCGGAGTAACACTGCTTGAGCACGAGCGTGATGTTGACCTCTGGGTCGTCTCTCCATAAGCTGATATATGTGTTAACATCCCGCTGTACTTCTGGGTCTGGTGCACCATCACAACGCATGTACCTCTCCCACTGGATACAAACAACATTAGTATTAACGTTTGTTAATATCATTATTTTTATATCAACAACATAGTTTTGTTTTCCCATGACTGTGTATGGATTAAAAAAAAAAGTCTTATTTGCAGTGTTTGCTTAGGAAAAACTGACCACTGGTAACAATACATGTGTTGTCCTTTTTTTAATGTGCAGTCTCCCTTTCACAAAGACAGGAACATACACACCATGGCTTTCTCCACAGCATCAGCTTTCCATTTGGTTACTGCAGTATGATTCTCCTCCAGTAGATGGCGGAGTTTGTTCAGCTCATCTTCTCTGCGCTCTCGATCCTGTCAGCAAAAGCATGCCCGTGAACATCTGCTGTGTGTTTCCATTTCATCAGTTTGGGTTTGTTTAAACCTGAATTCATCCTCATGATTGTTATAATATGTCATAGGGACATTTTACCTTTAACTCGAGCCTTTTTGTCTCCTTCTCCTTTTTCTCTCTTTCCAATCTTTCCTGCTCGTCTTTCTCTGCCTGCAGCTGGGCTTCCTCTGTAACACAAAAAAGCACATATGATGTGCATACCGTACAAAACACACACCCTTAAACTGCAGGAGTCATGTTAATTCCTGAGCAGTGACTGGCAGAGGCTCAAACAGATTATCAAACACATTACTTTCATCAGTACTCTGCAAACTCTCATGCCTCACACTAACCGCCTACACTGCATGAATGCCATTGCTTCCAACAAATACCTAATTTTTGCTACAGTTAGATTAACAGACACAGATATCTGGATTACCTTCCTCTCGCAGCCTCCTCTCCTCCTCCTCCTCCTGCTGCTGCTTGGCCTTCTGGGCCTTGGTAGGCTTACGGCCCTTGGATGACTTGAAACCAGCAAAACATTATAAATGAGTGTTTAAAACAGGGACAGCTCACTAGTACAAGTGTGACTAGAGAAGGGTTCATTACTGAGGTGAACAGTGAGTAAACACAGTGACGAGTGTGTTGGTTGGTATTCTCTATGCCTGGCTGCAAATATCTTCAACTACACACCTATTATAATCAGATTAATGCAGAACTCTAAATGTGCTGACTGACATTTGCTCATACCTTTCTTTTCTTGGGTGGCTATCAGTCACAGGAGAAAATACAGAGAGAAAGTTAAAGAAGGTTTAAAACATGCATTCAAGGCACAGGGGGAAAATAGTTAGAAAATTAAGGAAAGATAACATCAAAATTAAGGAATCATCCTGCTAAGGGACTGTTTGTTACTTATGAGAGGGGAGGGAGTAGTGCAAAAAGGGGGAGGCATGTCAAATATTTTCTAAGCACTGCGGAAGGACTAATGTTTTTTTTATTTTGGTTTAGGGGAGGAGCATACGATGGCTGTTTGTGTATTTATTTTATTTATTTTATTTTAAAATTGCCAAATTTGCACCATTTATTATATTAACAAAATTTTATACATGTACAGTAGAATTTAGAGAAAGACCCATGGAGACGGGGTTTATTTTTATTATTTTACATGTCTCATATAACATTTTTGGTGAAAAAACCAAGGCTTTCTTCAACTCCAGGATTGTTATCTTTGACTTATAACTTTCAAACATCAAAACATACTTTTTTTTTTAAATCTAACTTTAACAACTCAGTCAGGGTGGAGGGACGGTCATGAATTTTCCCTAGGTCACTCAGGGATGTTCAAGGAAAAATATTTGTGGCTTTAAAAAACAAACAAAGTCACACCCCAGCTACTCCCCTTCTCTGATAAGTACAGAACAGTACCTAACGCTCGCTTGGAAGCAATGCAGTATAACGTTAGCAGTGTTGTATCCTTTAAGTTGTTAGGTTGACTTTAGTCTTACTTTCTAGGTTTTGTAACGATGCTGTAGCTAATACTGTCAAACCCTGTGCTTTAAACTATTTGAATATAACATTGGTACACGGCCAAACGGGTAATTTATTCGAAAACTTTGTAAAAACTCACCATTTTGTAGCTAAAAAGCCCTGCGTGTCCAGGTAACCATAGAAACACTTACGCATGCGCGGTTATCTGTTATTATTTGCGACATAACGGAACGCCATACGACTGTGTGTAAGCTGAGCGGTTAACTGTAGTCACAGGAAGGACAAAGAAAAGGAGACGTCTCTTCAGTGTCACGTCGCTTTTGTAAATATACCCAACAAATGAACACATGTAAATATGAATGTACTGTTTAACTTGGCTGTTCGTAGAGTGTGTGTAGGTGCTAAATGCTAACTAACAAGCTAGCTGTTCAGCTGTAGCTAGCCAGCTCCAGAGTGGGTTGATAAGCAACTGTTGTCTTAATGGCTCTGGCTAATTGTAATGGTTGACTGGCTTCTGTTATCTTTCAGTAACATTCACTAAATGCTCCTGTTTCTGCTGTCATTGTCACCTCAGTTAATACTTTGCTTTGTTTCAGCAGTGTGACAGACCACCTCGTTTCTAACATGGCCAACCCTTTAAAGGTTGAGGTCATTCGGCTTTACAAAACAGTAAGTGATCAACACACACTTGGCACACAGGGTTCAGTTGTTTCCTGTGCTGCATTTGAATATAATGTCTTTCTCATCCTCCAAAAGCTGCTGTATCTTGGCCGTGAGTACCCCCAGGGAGCAGCTTACTTCAGAGAGCGCCTCAAGTCAGCTTTCATGAAGAATAAAGACGTGACAGACCCTGAGAAGATCAAAAAGCTGGTGGCCCGTGGCGACCATGTCATCAAGGAACTGGAGGCTCTTTATTTTCTCAGGAAATACAGAGCCATGAAGAAGAGGTATTATGACCCAGAGCCGTAATCACACACACACACCGGCAGCTGAATTGTCCTGCAGGCTGTGAGACACATACACAAAATGTTCTAATATTTGTCATATTATGCAACAGTGTGTTACTTTCACACCTCAGTTAATGAGATGCAGCTCACTTCACATGCTGTTCACTCTGCAGAGATGAGAAACTCCCAGCAGTTGCCCATACAGTATATGAAAAACAGAGTCAGCTTGCCTCACAAAGAAAATTGAAGGAAGTGCCAGAAAATGTCCACAATGAAGCTGTTACAGAATGTGCTTTGTGTTTATGTTTTAAAATCCCAAACATTGTACATAGCGTAAGTTAATATCTTGTTCAGAACAGTTCCAAACTGTGAAAGCCAAGGTGTCAGACTGACTGAATCATTTTGTACAATGTATATCCAATTTCAGTGTGTATATATTTATAAATACATGGTCAAACTTCTTGAAGAGTGAATGTACATAACTATGTATCAGTGCACTATTAGATAGATAACAAACAGAATTTTAAAACAGTGATGCCCTGTGTTATAATAAATATGAAATCACAGCACTGTTCTTCAACAACTTAACTGCTCTACTGCCATTTCTTTTATGAGATTACATCATAAATATATTTGTTCTTTTGTATCACAAACTTCTCACAAGATTTTTTTCACAAAATGTTCATTTAATTTTCAAGCCAGAAGGTCTGCAAATCCCCAATTTTCTTTATATTCCAATTTTCCACTTTTTAACCTCTTCGGAGGAGGAGTGCCTTCATAAAACCTTAGAAAAACGTGTGTAAAATGTTTATTTCCTGTGATATTATCTACTTTAAATTTGGTTTAGGTAAGGCTGTATCACGCTATGGTCTCATTGTTTTCCAGCTAATAGGTTGCAGTTATGGTCATCTGCAGGCAGTCAGTGTGTTCAGTCAACTATTACTCAATGACATGAGCACTCACAGTGATTCTGACTGTTGGCAAAAAAACGTCAGAGTGTTACATTTCAAATGAGACTAGGAATGTGCTCATACTCCAAGTGGTTCAACAACAGCTTTCAATTTACTAAAGGGCGTTTTTTGGGGAATTTTACAGGGATGGGATGAGTCTTATTTAAGGCAAGTAACAAAGCAGAACATGAATCAGAACATACCTGATCAAAATCTAACTCAGGGGTGTCAAACATATGTCCAGTGGGCCAGAACTGGACACCATAGGGTCCAATCCAGCCCACTAAGAGGTGCCAGGTTTCAGGAGCAAGTTCAATAATGTATTGCCTTATTGGTGTAAAATTCTTCTTCAGAGGGTTTTCCCACCCTGACCAGAATGAAGTTCTTTGACATAACAATGAATACTTACTGTGACCATGTTTAAAGATACTGAACATTGTGCAAAATATTGTCAATCAGCAGCTTCAGTACAAAAGAATCTATATCAGGAAATGTATTGATAAATGCACATGTAATGACTGTATGTATGTAAGTAGACTGACTGAATGTGGAAAAACTGAGACACTGTTGAAACTGCATTTATTTTTCTTTAGATATCTCAGGCTGTTTGTTTTGTAAAAGGATGAATGTCTACAGAATGTGCTTGTAATTCTTAACACAAAAAAACAGAAAATATTGGAACTGATGTTACTTATAGGCTGTATGTGGCCCATGAATTAAAATGAGTTTGGCACCCCTGATCTAACTAATAACTGAAGTGTAATATTAAACTCTGGATAGAAGTGATGTCACAATAATCTTATACAGCTGTTCCACATCTTAATTTGTACTTCTTTTAAATTCACATTGCCCTTATTTCAGCTGCAGATGCCAAATATTGCAAGTGATATCAAACCAGTAAGGTAATTTTGGTCCAGTTTCTTTCATACTTAAATGGCCTCTTGCTCTCACAATATTATGAGTGAATCATTCCTCACATACAGCCATACACTTATTTTTCGTCTTGGGGCTGTGGTTTGGTTGAGGCTTAAGTGGTCAGTGACAGAGGTCGGCTCATCTCAGGAGGAGGGGATCACACCTCACACAAGATCTGACAAAGCTTCTCATAGAGAAATAGAACATTAAATAACCTAAATTCCCCTCACAATGAAACAGGTTTGGTTACTGCATTTTCCATAGTTTTGGTCCCAAGGTTGGTTCAACTTGTACCAACATGTTGCACCTGGAGTATTGGATACCGTATTATTCCAAAACATCAGGCAGATTTGTTAAACTGCATAACATGAGGAAAATATGTAATATGTCATAATGATGAATATTGCAATAATGATATTACTTACAATAAATAAACAGATATTAAAGTGTAATCAGTTCTGCCTTTCTGCTGCTTTCAGTGTGCTGCTAAAATATAACAAATGGCTTGTTGAATTAAAAAAATAAAAGGACATTTTTATACAGCCTTCTTTTCCAGCTTCCAGCTGCTGTAATGAAACAGTTTAATTGTGAATAGCCCAAACAACATCATTCTTTCATAAATCTGTCTATGTAGTACTGTCATTACAGCACCATCCAGCTTTACTGGAACACATCAATATACACCACAGCCTTCAGACCACCCTGTAAAAATGTAGACCACAATCAGGTGTTATAATAATACCTCTATTTAAATCCAGGTATCAAAGTAAACCTCAACTAATCAGGTGAATTCACTTAGCAAAGTAGGTTTAGGTGCCTTTGTGTGAGGTGTACATCTTTAGTTGACTGAAACCAACATAGTTTCATTTAAAGATCAATGATGATTCCAGTGTAGAGGATTTGTGGCAAAGAGAGACAAGTAGTACAGATATAATAAAAAAAACCTTAAGGTGTCAGATTTGTTGTTTGACCCACAGAGGTCAAAGCCTTGTCATTATTAAGAGGTTTCTTACTCACTGGACAATAACAGTTCAGAGACATGGAATAGACAGAAGAATACAACATAAAGGCTGTAATGCTGTTATTGTACATCAGAGTTGTGTTCAATTCAAATCAGGAAGGAATTTTGAAGTCAGAATCCCAGAAGTTTTATCAAAGCTGACAAATATTTTTCTAGCATTATATTTGATTTTAAGTTCCTTTTTTTTAAAAAAAAAAAACAACTTTAAAACCTGACCGCTGGTCTCACTTTACTCATGAACACTAACAGAAAATATCAAAACTCCACTCCATGGTAAAAGTCCCACATCAGTTTAATGATAAAATATTTTTCTCACTGGGGTTCCCCAAGGAGCATTGCTTGGTCCCCTACTTTTTATGGAAGGTAAGATATTTTATACACTGTATATTTATTATCCTTCATCCACCATTGCTCATATCTCTTAGTTGATAAACTCTGCTACTGAGCCAATCTAGAGCACCCCACGGTCTCCACAAATTACATTCTACATTAATGGATGGATTACTGAATGGGCCTACAGGGCACAGGCCCAGGGGACAAAAGTGTCAGGACCCCCTGGCCTTCACCTGTAAAATATCTGTCAAATAAACGTGCTGACAAAGAAGAGACTCAAATCTACACAAAGACACATAAAACAATTTTCAAAGAGACAAAATGACCAAAAAGGAACCACAAAATGACTACAAAGCAAAACAGCTGCAAAAGGACTCACAACAGTTCAGACAACGGGCAAAAAAACCACAAAGAGACACAAAATAAATACGAAGATACTCAAAATGACTACATAAGCAACCACAGATGCAAAAAAACCTACAGAGAGACATAGAATGACCCTAAAGGAAACAAAACCACAGAGAGATGCATAATGACTACAGAGACATGCAATGAACAAGAAGAGGCTAAACATCTATAAAGTCTGTGTGTCTTGCTCCTATGTAGGAGAGGTGATGGAGCTTTCTGTGTGTCTGTGCCAAGGGGCCTATTGTGTCATAATCCGCCTATGTCTACAACCCACCCTCTTTATTTCTATTATAATTTACCTCTTAATTTAACCAGGTTTTATGTAAAGAGAATGAACATATTCCTACTGCAAAACATCATAGAACCACACACTCAACAAACCACACTCACCTCATAAGCTCTGGTGATGGTGAGCCAGTAATAGTCAGGGAGACAGACCTCACATGTGACCACTATTGTCACTGCATTATAGAGACCCGCAGTGGTACACCTACAGATCTGGGGTGTTTTCAGTTAACAAATAATGAGTAATACTCATCAGTTTCGGCTAAAATTAAAGCTACTTTGTGACAGAAAGCATTCAGCTTTCATTCAGGTGCAAACAGCCAGGCTGGTGAAAACGTCTCACCCCATTGATGAAGGTTTTTCTTATTAAATAAAAGCATACAGTGGGCTGGATCAGAAACATAATGACCTGTCAGGAGGAGAATAGTTTTTCATTTGGCCCCCAGTTGGGTTGTCCAGCACTACAGTGGCTAACAAGTATCTGGCGGTCAGGGACAGGGAGACAGGCCGAGCTGTCAGACTGTGGTACCTTGTTAGGAAGCCCCCAGAGCTTCTCCATCCCCTGTTCACCCAGGTGTAGTAGACCCACTGCCAGCAGACGCCACCAGCATTAGAGGCAACACCAGAAGCTCTGCTGCCACAAGGGAGCCAGCTACCAGACATACCTGACATTTTGGTAAAGTCAGACCAAAACTTAAAATGAATGAGTCGTTCCTCATTATTTTTTCACTCAACACTGAAGAACAGTAAAACAGCCATGACACCATTCATCTTCTAAATGTGTAAGTTTGTATGTGTTTGTGTACACACACATATGGCAGATGACTAAAGAGGTATTAAATAAATGTATAGATAAATACAGTAATAAATAAAAATGTAAATAAGTGTATAAAGAAATACAGAATAAAAAATACCTAAATGAATACATGCTGAAATAGATACAGAAACAAAAGCTTTAGACAAATGTTAGGACCTCCTACTTTATTGACATACAGACACATAAATGCATGAATAAATAAATGTAGGTGTACAAAAATCCAGAAATAAATTAAACATATATTTATTTGTTTATTTATTCATGTTCTGTTTAAATATCAGCTTATATTTCTGATTTTATTTATTTTTATGCCTCCGTGTTGGCAATAGCTATGGCTGAAAGCATTATGTTTTTGGGTTGTCCATCCATACATCTGCCCCATTCTCTTGAATGTGATATCTCAAGAACAGCTCGAGGGATTTTTTATTTTTTTTTTTTTTTTTCAAATTTGGCACAAATGTCCACTTGGACGCAACAATGAACTGATTAGTTTTTGGTGGTCAAAGGTCAAGGTCACTCTGACCTTGTCTGTCTCATTCTTGTGAACATGATAGCTCAAGAACGCCTTGAGAAATTTCTTCAAATT